TTTGACTCAGCCTCATTGTAGCTCTCCATTTGTGCATGTGTGTGATCCTGATGCCATGTTCTGGTTACCTGACATCCCATAGAAGTGATAAACCTGGTCGTAATCCCACCTTTGCTTCCCTGTGAGTGATCCCATTCACTTGGCCACTGTGTCAGCAATATATTTTAGAAATCACATGTTGTTGCGTTGGCAGAGATTTGTCTTCAGTTGTTTCCAGAGTACGCCAAGTCCTACTAAGGTTAACCAGTATATACATTTGGGTTTGTAGAAAAATTTTCCAGCCCTTAGTCCATGGAAAATATCCAGTCTTCTTGAAACCAGTGATACCACAAAACTGCTGGCGTTGCTGACTATGAGCTAATCTCCTAAGAATGGTGTCTTTGGTTTTACAGACTGCTGACTGCAGTGATTTGGACTTTTTACCACTTAGTTAATTGATAAGTTGCTTTCTTGCTGCCCTCTGCTTTATTTAGTATGATACAAACGCTCTACTGTATGTGGGAAAAGGCTTTCATAAATATAGCTGACTACAAATTTGAAACATATTCTTGTCTCTTCTGGTTTTCCTATCAAACCAGTGTCATTATTTAACTTTTGCGGAGAAAGAAGGGAAAATAATTACTTTCCATAGGTTTCCTTCTGTTATGCATGGCAGTTACTGCGTGTCTTGTAGACAGTGCTTCCTGTACTGAAATAATGCTCTATAATACCCAGACATCCACGTTAGACTGCAGCATCTGTGCATTCAGGGGCTTCTGGGTTGTGAATATCTTCAGAAAGTGTACGTGATGATCAGTAGGGAGCTAAATTTGTTCATTAAAACATTTAACTTCTTTTTTTTTTCTCCTCTTACAGAATGTGTTTGTGGTTGTCACAGTAACAGTACGATTTACCAAACAAGTGTGGAAGACTGTTATAAATGTTAAGTAAGAATAACAGATTGGAAATCCCGAGGCTAATTTGGAATACTTCCACATCAACTAATTCTGTGTTGCAAAGTGTAGTGAATGTCTGAGTAACAAAAATACCTTAGAGCAGTGTTTCCTAACTTGCATTTGCAGAATTGCACTGCAGAGCACTATGCACTAAAGTATATGTCAAGTACACAGTAGGGGTGTGCTTTAACCCCTTAATTTTGGGGTTTTTAGCCTTACTGTTTCACAGAATAGTTTTAGATCCATTATAAAAAATACAAAAAAGCACACAACTGAAAGCCATACGAGTTTTCACTCTGTATCTGCAGGTTTTTTTCTGATCAGTTTTGCAACAGTGTGTTTGTGAGACAGTTTTAGGTACTGTAAGTTTTGGATTACACCTTCTGCTTGCAAATTGTCACAACCCCCCCCCCGAGATATTTGAACTTCTGAATTGTTAAGAATACATGGTGCTGCTCCTTCATAGCTGCACATAATTATGTATTTTCTATAATTTAATCTACTTTTGTTAAGTTTTCCCGGTCATAATGTTTATTTTCCTGAGGTCTTTCTGACAGAGCAGTGCTATCTATCTCCTTGAACTTGTGGGAAGTAGAAGATAACAATAACTTGCCCAGGTCAAAGAAATCTGTGACAGAAAATCTGAACCCACATTTAAGGCAAATGTCACTGTGGTTTAAAGTAGTTCCATCCAGCTTTTCCCTCTGGTTTAACACTGTACATGTGATTTACTTGACTGAAAGTATTCTGTCTTTCATAGCATGTTACGTCAGTATGTCTCAATGAGGAAGAAATCGCACACCGTAGCTGTTCATGAAAATTTTATATGCTTGCACTGAGGTTCATCAGAATTGAGTGAAGCTGAATACTGATTTCGGAAGGGTTGAGATTATTTTTCTTAAGAGTATGATGTTAGTACCCATCAACTGCAAAGTGCTTATTGTCTGCATCAGTACTATTTTCGTTTTCAGAAGCCATGAGTATTGAATAAAGGAGTAATAAAAGCAGCTTAGCTATGAATGAAGGCACAAATATTGAGACTTAGATTTGCATCCTGCTGAACACTGCACTTCTCCATAAATACTTTTTCAGTAAAACTTCAGCCTTGGAAGTTGTTGTCTGGAGGATGCAGCCCTCAGACTGTATCATCTGGATGGTGTTGACTGACATTTCAGGGTCACTTTGTTGCTGTACTTCAATTTCCCTGTCTTGAAACTGTCAGTACTATTACTGCTTACTTTGAGCTCTGAAATACAAAATTAAGAGCTGGGTATTAGAGTGCTTTTTGCCAATTTAAAAATAATCAGTTGCCTTCACACAGTGAGAATTCATTGATAAATGTAGTTTTGGATTATTTGGCCATGCTTTTCCTACTTCTGCGGTGTTATTTCCATGATGCTATAAGGTAACAAATACCATGTTGTCTGCACACAATATCCAGCTGCAAAATTAGTTCTAGTAACAATGGAGAAAAGTCAGTATCACTGGAAAATGTTTTGTCTGTGGAAGCAGCTGCCCATGAGCTCACCCTCTGGAAAATATCCTGATGGCTTCACATCTTAGAGAGCTTTCTCGGTGCACAGTAGCATAAATGTAAGCCAAGGTTTAAAAAACTAGTACTGCATGTTTTCTTTGGCATATGGCAACCCCAAGCCTTTCCTTTGAGAAGCAGGTCTTAAAGTCTTGCTGAAGGGAAGAATTTGTATTTCTCTGAGAAAAATAAATGTGTTCTCATCTATTGCTATTATTGAATCATATATGTGGAAGAGTTCAGAATGCCACTGGCCAGGTGAAGGCTGGTAACACTAAGAAAAAGATCAGTAAAAACTAATCATCCTTCTTACTTTGAAAGGAGGCAGGAGAGGAACACTCCTGAAAAGTTGTGAGCTTGGTGTGAATTTACAGAGAATATGTTTTGCTACATTCCAGCGTATTAAGTCTAATTTTTTTATTGGCATCCATCAGTTGGTTTCTTTCTTCTGCTTTGAGTTGCCTCCATTGGTTGAGCTTTCATGGTGTATGGAGTGCAGAGTGACACAGATCATCATGCACAGGTTATTTTGGGTTGTTTAATTTATACAGAATCATTAAGTTTAGAGATGCAAAAAGACTGTTTTAGTCATGCTAGAACTTAGTTATATTTTGCTGTAAGTTCACTGTGTAAACTGTGATTTCCTCTTAGAATTGCACATCCGGCAGAATCTGATCTGCACCTCATTTTATCAGTAGAAGTCAAAATATCAAAGACTGTATATAAAAGATTTCTACTGTAAATGGTATTACAGTATTCGGGTTGCATCCACTTCATTATTCTTTATCACTATTGGCAATGGCTTTGTGTTTATAAGTTTTGCATAAACTGTTTGCAAACTTGTGTTCAAAATTATGTGATTATAAATCTAAGTACTTTGTATTTCCTGCAGATTGTGCAGTTACGGGATTTTTTTAAAATTGGAAAAGCAACACCTATGTTAAGAATGGCTGAAGCCGCAATTTCTTTCTTGTGTTGTCTAGTTTGGGTATGTCTGGCTGTTGCATGGCTCTGTGAAGAGGCAAAAGAGCAGCAAGTCCCCTTTATACAGTGATTGCCCTCACTTACTGCAGGGTGTCTTTGGCACAAAGTGCCCATGTGTCCAAGGACGCACTGAAGATGATGAAGTGTATTACAACTCTACCTCAGCAGACTATTTCACTTCCTTGAGCCACAAAGTACTGTGCATTACAACTTTGTTCCTTCCTATGATTGCACCCAAAGCCTGATCAACAGAGAGCATAGCTGGAAGTCCTAAACCAAATTGATTTTACACACACACTCAGAGCCTCTGTACTCCTTAGCTGCACTCAATACAATTGAAATACTGAAACTGATGAAAGTATCCTCACAAAAGGCATCTTCATTTAAACGCATTCCATTAGTTGCTGAAGTAAATAGATGAGCCTTGCATTATGCTTTCATAGTCGCTTTCATGAGTTTTGCAAGGTTGTGTTGTATAATTATCTTTCAGTTTTCCAGAGCTGAAACCTAAAACTTTTTATGTAACGACAGTGAAGATCCAGTTTTCTCAAACTTGATGATTGTATATTGTATATACTTCCCAGTTAGTATTTTCCCCTTCATTTGTGATTGCTGTCTGACTGTTCTAGGGCTGTAAAAGAAGCCCACTAAAAATCAAAATAGTTTATGTGAAACTGAATGGCATGTGTTGATAAAAAACAGATGGGTACTATGTAAAAGATCTGATGCTTTATCGTGGATTCATTTCGGCCTTAAGTCTGCCTGTTTCTCCTAATGTGTAAAGGTAGAGGTACCATGCAACATACAAACACTGGATGTAGGTATATTTATGGTGATGAAGATACCTGCCATCTTGCTACACATGACTTCTGTGTCTATAATAGGCTTCCTTTACCAACCAGACATGACATTTTGTCTCATCAACTAGTGCTTTGGAAAAGTGCAGCACAAGTAAGAACGATCAGCATCTTTGCTTCTTTCTGTTTTACAAATAACTGTCAAAAAGAACTGCCATTCTTTCAATTAAGACATAAATAAATTCTTTTCTTTCTACTTTTTTAAATCATCATATAATCAAAAGCTAAATATAATCTCCTCAAGCAGTTGCTCCAGCAAATGCAGCCTGGAGCCTCCGCCAAAACATGCAGTAATATCTTCATGTGGTAAGTAGTGGTAGTGAAGCGCTAAACTTCAGTCAGCGTGGCCAGAGGCTGTTGTGCTCACTGTCAGCTTCATAAATGCTGCCTGTACTGTCATTAGCAGTTCATAGCAGCTGTCACTCTTCTTTCTTAGCGTCCTTGATAAGGTCCTGCAAACTACTCATAGCAGACATTAGTCTGTAGAACTGCAAAATCTTTTCAAGTGGTTTCATAGAACTCAAGTGCTGATTCTGAAGTTTGTTCACCACACAAATCCCAAGCTCTCCTTTGTGTGATGGGTCCAGACCACAGTGGGGGTGAATAGTTGCTGGCTGTTCTGTTCATGAAAAACAATGCAATTATTTGTGGTTGAAACATAGACCAATTGGTTGATTGGTTTGTTTGTTTCAGGAATTTACCTCCTGGATTTAATCTACATTGATTCTGCATATCCCGCTTCAGGCAGCATTATGGAGAATGAACAAAGAACCAATCAAATGAACAATATTCTCCGAATAATAGCTGATCTGCAAGTCTCCTGTAACTATGGTTGGTAAATCTTTTGTATCTGTTAAGGCTTAACTAAAAATTCTGTAGTACGATATCGTGTGGTTTCAGCCCTGTGTAAAGGCAACACAAGAGGCTAACGGTAGCGTTGAACGCTAGTAAGTAACATAGCTTCTACTTTGTGCAGTTTCAGTCTTACCAGTAAATTAAGCAAATATGCATTTACTCTTAATTGTAAGAACTATAACAGAAGTTGAGCAGAGTTTACTGCAACATGTGGACTACAAATGACATATTTTCAAGTACAGCTATTGCATTTGGGTTATATTCTGTTCCCATCAGAGGCAGGCAGAAACAATATCTTTCCTTTGCAGTAGATATGATGTCTTTGGAACATAGAATGTCTTAATCTCATTGTTTTATTGTTAGCATACTGATATGTTTACAAAATGAAATACGAATACTGCTATCTACACAACAGTTGTAAAATTATGTGTTAAGCTTTTCCACATACCTCAGTTGTTGATGAAGTGAGGAACTTGAGGGGCTGTTCCTTTTTGTTAACAGCATTTTACTCTCAAATTTGTTTCCTTAATTCTAGCCTGTTAGTGAAGCCTTATGTCAAGAAATGTGCTGGTCTGGGGCTGTTGATGAATACTTAAGAGTGCTGTTGGTGGCTTAGCATAACTTTTCTTAGCTTAAACATGAAATAAGTTGGGAAACATTGAGAGCAGCTGCAGAATTGTGTAAATTCAGAACATGTAAATGCTACAGTTTTGGAGAGTTTTGAATAAGAAAGAAAGAATTTAGATTGTGAAAAAAGGAGGTGAGAAATCACTTGTGTATGCTTAAGTATTCAGTTCTTGTCCTTTGTTGTCAGCTTGGGTGTTATAGTATATTCAAAGGGACTAGCCATAATAGTGTATGATTCTGAATAGCTTGATTATTCAGCTATCATGTTCTTACTATGAGTTTCATTTTGTCTTTGAATACTTGGACAAAGAAACCTCATTATGCCACTAAGCCTTCCTTTTTACAGTTTTGGTGGCTTTCTGTATTGCTGTACATTACTTTTTAGTGCTTTTGTTGAAATGAGAATGAAAATTAAAGCATGGCCTTGAAGAAATAATATTCTGGAATAATAGGTGCCTTTTAAAAGAGCTGTCTTTTGGAGAGGATGTGTTAGATACTACAAGGCGTGTTCCTGTCCTAGTTCCTGACTAGTTGTCAAGGGATTTTCCTGTCATTCTGAACTGTGTCTTTGTTTCTTGGTATTCAGCATTCTAATTTTTAAGTCTCTTCATGTTTCTGCCTGATTTATTATTTAGGAATGTTTAAAATCTCAGTTTCCATTAAGGTAACCATAAGAATTAGGAAAAAAACCCCCAAACAAACCCCAAAACAAAAAAGCCCAACGTGAAAGAATGAGGAATTTTGGGTGACATTAATGTTCATCTTCTCTTTGAACACTCCACAGATCATCTTACAACACTGCCCCATGTGCAAAAGTATTTGAAGTCTGTTCGTTACATTGAAGAACTTCAGAAGTTCGTAGAAGATGATAATTATAAGTAAGTACTGTTCTTTTCTTCAGATTTTGTGGAACTTAATGGAAAGATCACTTGGCTATTAGTTTGATTTAAAGTGGAACAGAAAGTCATTGGCTGAAGGTAGTTCCCTGTGAAAGATCATGCTTGACCATGGTTTGTGCTTTTGTGGCTGATTGATCACAGATACTGAGCATAGTGGTGTTTCTCTAGGAAAATTATTTGGAAAAAAGAATGTGTTTGACTTTTTTTCATAGCAAAATTTTATCTGCTTCATAGAATTGGAATTCCTGCCAGAGTACCAGTGATAGAATCGGTATCTTCTTCCTTTTCTCAGCCTCCAGACATTATATGTGTTCACAAAGAGAGATGCATTGTGCAACAGATGTATAGAGAACATTAGCGCCATGCACAGCTTTTTGAAAAGCTCAGGCAATCCATGACTTCGTTAAGAGTAGTCTGAGATTTAAATCTCAGTATTAATATTTAACAAACGGTCATTATTTACTAATTTCCCACAAAATTCTGTGCTTCATTAAAATCATGAGCATACAGAAAAGCTATAGTAGTGATGGTGAAGAACTGTGGTTAGTACAGGCTTTACAGCCTTTGGATTAGGTTCAAGAAACTGGTCATGTTGCTTAATGTGGTTTTTAGATGGAGTTTCCTGATGATGCATCAATGTTAACACTATATACACAACAGCTTTCATGAACTGTAATATCTTAAGAAAAATAGATTAAACAAGTGGTTTCTGTGAGTATATGATACTGTAACAGAATACTTTGAAAAACTACAAGTCATGAGTAATTCCAGCTTAAATCTGAAAATCACCTTAACTTTAGCTGCAGTCTTGCTGATAATGCTGGAAAGTATTTTGTGTGTCTTAAGGATTTAGTACAACTTCTTTTGCTTTAGTTATTTCTGAGGCTATTTCAGTCAAATTTAGGGAGTTTTCTTTCTAGGCTTTACTATGGCAAATCTGGACTGATCTCACAAGAGCTTTTAAAAAGAGGGAAATATTTGATTCTTAGCATAGTGAAGTTGCTGCAGTTTATGTACATTGGAGAAGTTTGACCTTTTACTGCCATCTTTGTTTCATCAGAATAAAGCTTTAAATTAAAGTCTATTCATCAAAACTGCACACAACTGCCCTGAAGGAGAACTCTGATGCCTCTTCCATCTTTGTATTTGTGAAGAAGTTTTTGAATTTTGTTTTGAATATTTTATTTCACATTTTCCTCTCAGTTTTCCCTAGTAGATCTTCAGTTTCATAGCATTTTCTGGTCCCATGCCAGAAGAAACTGTAAGCCTTAAAAAGGCAAAAACTTCTAGGTTGTTACAGTGGAAAAGAATCTCATCTTTCTTTCTCTTTCCAGTGACCACTCTTTTTGAGCCAGCAGCAGCATTAGTGTACTCTGAAGAGATGGAAGCTTGACCTTTGAACAGAACAGAACTATCTCAGTACCAGGCTGTCGGGGAGAGAAGCTTAGATAGTTGCCCTAAAATGTATTGGCAGGATCCCAACACACATTTTGCCAAATGAGAACCTCAGTTGCACTGAAAAGGGAAATTTGGCAGCCACTTTATATAAACAAAGCTCTTCTCCATAGTTTTTGTGCCAGTCCAATTGCTCGCTTTAGGTTTGTGCTTGTCAGCAAGTAGGAACTCTCAGAAAACCCCTGACAATGATGTCATAACCTAAAAAATAGTAGGTCTTTTTTGCTCAGCCTATATGCTGTTCTGTGCAGAAGCTGAGAATTTACAACTTTTGCTGGTTACAAGACTAAGGGGCAAAACCAGGACCTAAAGCATCAAGACTCTTTCCAGCTATACCCAAAATGTATTGCTAATCTTTGTTATTTCAGGGCGTTACTGGTACCAGATGCAGCTACTGTAGGATCTTCTTCCTCCTTCAGGGGTGTAAGACAGTGCTTGTCCCCAAGTGTGCAGTTTTCTCCTTAGCTAGACAGCACTGTGTTAGCCTGAGATTCCTAGTGTTCCAGCAGCCATATGGATCATAGATTCGTAGAATGGTTTGGGTTGGAAAGGACCTTAAGATCATAAAGTTCCAACCCCCCTGCCATGGGCAGGGACGCCTCACACTCGAGGTATTGATCAATAGCTATAGTTGTGACTTGGCTGCTCTTCCACAGTTCATTCTTGGAGACAGTGAAGCTTCCAGAAGCTGTTGGACCTATAGGCAGCTCAAAATGTTCAAGATACATCAGACCCATTCTGCTTCATACACAAATGCTGGTCAGAAATGCTCTGAGTGACAGCTTTGAGGCTTGAACTGCTTTACTGCAACTTAAGTTGTCTCAAGAAAGATGAGTAAGTTTTGTTCAGCCTCCTCATGGAGCAGCTAAATTTCTCCTTCATGTAAGGCTATTCCCTGTCTTCTTTTACTTGCCTAATATTAGCAGAATTATGTAAAAGTAGCTTTACTGTCCTAGAAGTGGTTCCATCCTGTGCTGGAGAGAATCCTTACATGAAATAGAACTGTGTTCAAGACTGGGTGCGTATTTTATTTTCTGCACATGGGGCGAGGTGAGAGCAGAGCATGCGTGTACATGCATGGAACCTGTGCTGCTCAGTGGAAAATGCAGTGTCAGAGGAATTGCAAAAATGAATTTGGGTGGTGGCAAACAAGCCAAGGCTGGTTGAGACTGTACTGACTATCAGTATCTCTTTGGAATAAAAATGTTTTCTATTGTTCCCAGCCTTCAGGGTGCGAGAGTGAACAGGAGAGAAGGTGGTCGAGGAGTGACATCTCCTTGTCAGAATATATTCCCTTTTCTCACAGTTTATCATCAATATAGAATCATAGAATAGTTAGGGTTGGAAAGGACCTTAAGATCATCAAGTTCCAACCCCCCTGAATGTGTCACCATGAGTATTCAAATTTAGGCTCGTATTTATTTCTTACTCTTTTAACGCATCCTGTGTTTTCTTATGTTGAATAGCTAGATTGCATTTTCAGAGGAGTGCATTACAAACCACATCACTGTAAAAGGGAGAAGCTATTTGCTTACATTGACTGAATTGCAGTTGTATCTTTTTGCAATGGGCTTATTAGACAAATGTTTCCACAGTGACCAAATAAATTGTGGCTGTTGCCACAGGGGACTAGTAAAACTGAGTGAGGTCTTTGATAACCACATAAGGAAAGAACATCAGAGATGAGTTCCTCAAAACTGGCAGAAACTGCAACATGCAGTTATCACATGTGGGGAAGGATAAGTAACAGCTCCCTTGTACAGACAGAAACAGAAGAAAGAAATAAGCATTTGTGGAACAGTGACAGGTTCACGGGAGAAGGGTTGTTTGCTGCTGGTTAGAGAACAACTGTTACATGAAACAAGTTGAAATGAGTGTTCTCATTACATAAGGACTTTGATTTTGTCAGGTTGTTGTCATCTGTTGTCATCCATCCCATCCCGCTCCTGTGCATGTCTTTAGTACAAAAGCCTTTCACTGGTGTTTTTATGCAGCAGAGTACTGCAGTCTGTAGCTTGAAACCTTCACAACTCTGCGTGCGTAATGCTGTGCAATGACAGCAGTTATTTCCTTTGGGTTTAAGCCTATTCCATTAAAGTTTACTTAACATTGTGGCTCTCCACAGTTTTTTTTTGTCAAACTGGTACAGAACAAAGAACCTATAAATGTCAAGTGAAGAGTGTGTAAGCTTGAGAGGTGGCAGAAGTCATATGCACTGGAAGATCAAGATGTGTTGGAGTGCTGAGAAGGCAACAATGAGTGCATCATAAAAAGCACACTGAAGCAGGGTAGCTTATAATATTATAACTTTCTTCTAATTATCTTCTTTTCCAGATTGTCATTAAGAATTGAGCCAGGTAACAGCTCTCCTCGACTTGTTTCTTCCAAAGAAGATCTTGCAGGTATGAAACTTCATTTGAAACTTTGATTTTTCATTACAGAAATCCTTCACTGAAGTATATGGGTAATCCCATTTTATTCAGAGGGATTTTGGAGGAATGAATCAGTTACAAGTAGTTTAATTTGCAGACTTTGTAGAGGAGGGATATATTCTTATTTGCCTTTCTGGAGAATGGGTTTACCTGGATGGCAAAGAGGAGTGATTTTAAGATGTTTTATTGTTAGCTTTCACATTTTTAATAGGTAGCATAAAAATCTATTGTACTTTCCTCTGCTGAGATTAGAAACCTAGGGAAAACAAGGAGAAAGGAGTCAAGTTCTAAGGAAAAAGGAATAAAATCTATAGAAATAAGAATTTGGAAGAAAACATTTCTTCAGGAAGGCACTCTTCCCTTCCCCCTCAATGCTCAATGCTATTAATTGCTGTGTAAAATACAAGGAAGTCGTTCACAGGAGGAAACATTTTTAACTAGGTAAGTTCAAAAGGAGTTCTTAATTAACACTTTCTTTGTACAGACATATGTATTGGGTCTGGCTGGGATGGAGTTAAGTTGTATTTGTGGCTAGAAGGGTGTTGATAAGGCACCAGTGTTCTGGCTAGTGCTGAGCAGTGCTTGCAGGATCAAGGCTGTCTCTCCAAAACCAGCCCCCCACAAAAGGCCAGAAGGCTGGGGGTGGGCAAGAGGTTAAGAGGGGACAGTCAGGACAGCTGACCCAGGCTGGCCAAAGAGATGTTCCATACTATATGTTATGCACAGCAATAAAAGCTAAGAGAATTGAGGGTTGCAGGGGAAGCATTCAATATTAAGGCATTTGTCTTCCATGTGAACCACTGCGAGTGCTGAGGTCCTTCATTCCAGCCAGTGACTGGACATTATCTTCTGATGGGAAGAGGAGGATAAATTCTTCTTGTTTTCCTTTGTTGCCATGTGCAGCTTTTGCTTTTCTTTATTATAAACTGCCTTTATGTCAGTCCATGAGGGGTTTTTTAATATTGTTTTCTCCCCCCATCATGCAGAGGAGGGGAGTGATGAAGCAGCTTGGTGGGCATGTGGAAGCCAGTGAGATCAACCCACCACATCATGTAATGTTTGATTTTGCTCTTGTGAGGATTTGCTTTCTCATACTTGTAACTAAGTCATTGCCTCTCATATGATCGTATTTTCCATACGTAAAGCATACAAGTGGACTTTTCTGTTTTCTGGCTTTCGCTTCATATTGCTCATGTTTAAATGCTTTACAGTAGGGTTTTGGTATTAACATTTCATTAGGATGATGGTGGAAATCCTAATGGTTGTAGCAGCATAGTATGTGATAATCACCAGTACTCTAATTCTTAGTCAAGGGCTCAGACGTTATTAGAGCTGTAATGGATGGCAACTAGAAATACAGTTCCAAAGCTGGGAACAAGAACTGTAAACCCTCCTGGCTTTATACTGCAGTGAGCTCAGCTGGTGTACACCAATATTGATCAGCCCAATGTTCTGTGGTACCTACTCAATTGACTATGTGGTCATATGGTATCTGGCAGTATTAGGAGAGGATGAACTTTACCCTCTGAATCTGCAGTGCCCCTGTATGCTCCGTAATGCTGCTTTATTCAGAGTGAGAATTAATATGATGACTAGAAACCCAAGTCTTGAGTCATCCTTCTTGCTCCATGAGTCTGTTAGTATTTCCTTTGAAAGCTTGACACGCTTCTGGACTGATGTACTTCTTGCTCAGCTAAGGAGTTCTCATGTACTGCCAGTTGGGCAGTGAATGCCACCAGCATTTTGTAATACCCACAGGAATGTTTCAGTGACCTGCACCTATGTGGCTGCAAAACTAAAGGGAATCCAGTGAAAAAACCAATTAATTCCTGGAGAAGTTCAGTTAAAGTAAATTAGCATGAATTCAGGTTGAAGTTTAACTAAGCATGAAGGCAGTAATTTGTTGTTTATTTCACAGCATTAAAAAAAAAGAAATATAGACATATGTTAGTCTTGAATAATTCTGAGCTAAAATGCCCAACTATCAGTAATGAGATACTTGACCATGCAGAATTAAAACCAGCACATTTGAAAGTGGGTGAGTCAACTTTATTTGGATTCAGTTTAGAGTTTTCCACTTTAGCCGTTGTGTACCAGTAGTAAATCCTTTGCAGTCAGCAAACTATAATGGTAAGAGATGATCTCAAAAAAATTTAGGCAGTAGTTTAATGTTCCACTCAATAGTTTAAGGCATATGAGTCTCAATATAATGATCTAAAGGTAAAATAGAGGTTCTCGGCTCAGAAGGGCAGTCACCCATTCAGTTCTCCCAACAGTCAAAAAGTGATTAGGTTACTAATGGCAGTGTAGTGTCTAGTTGAGTTCAGCGTGTGACATACTACCTTCTATAGGTAGTCATGTGTTTCCAAATACAGAGAAAAGCTTGATATCACTGGTAATAATTCCAAAAGCCATAATGGACTTAAGTGCAGGGAATAGTGTCTTTTTCATGTCCTAAAGTAGAACTACTTATGTTGATGATGGAAATGATTTTTTCTTCCCAGCTTTGTAACTTTATTTTCTATCCAGCTTCAGTTTTCTCTCTTTCAAAAGATGATTAACAGTTTACTTTATCCAGGGACATCACAGGTTTCTTTTTTTTCCCCTTAAAGTATCTTTATGAATGTGAGGCTCAATAAGAACAGTTAAATCCTTCAATATTTCTATTTGCAAAGTACTGGAGAAAACCATGTGTCCATTTTCCACTTTGGTTGCCAACTGGTTTTCCAGTAAATTCAAACAGGAGGCAGACATCTGATTAAAATGAATGTCTCACAACAAGCTATGTTTTGTATATTAGTGGCTAAGATGGTCTCCTTTAATTACCGATTGCATATATAATTGTGAATAGTGCTTTCAAAGGGAGATTTCATGCCTTCCATAACGCTGCAGAGGTTCTTGTCTCTTGCAAGCAGCCTTTAAAATGGAGCTTTAAGCAGTTTCATTGAATGCTTTCAGGAACTGTGTGATTCACACAACTTCCTTGGCAGCAGCTTAAGTCTGTTCATTCTGCCTTGCTATGGTTTGTGAGAGAGAGGGAGAATGTAGCTGGAGAGCTTATAGTATGCTAACTGTTCACAGTTTCCAGTTGAATTAGCTGTAAAAGACATCTGTGTTCCTGCGGTGTTGGCTAGAAGGTGCCCAGCATTTATGGTACAGCTATTAAGCAGATTGTTTTGGAAGGTATAACTCAATACATTTTCCCAGAACAAAGGAAAAGATGTAATGTTCTATATGGTAAATAATTTAACCTTCTAAGCAACTAGCTAAGTCTAGCTCACTACAGAAAAATGTATGCGTGTTCTTTACCATCTTAATGTTGTTTAGCAAAGTTCAAGGCTTGGTGCTGATCAGAGTATAGAAAACAGTTACTTGTTCTTTGAAATATACCATGTTTATCCTGCCTTGGAAAGCAATATAAAAAGATTCAATAATGTTAAAATCATTATACTAATACTGAGTGACTCAAAGACCGATCTTTATGATTCTGTGATATTTTTTTTTTAATGATTCCCTTCATTACAGTTAGCATTTAGCAGTCATTTTTAGCAGCCAGGCCTCAGCTGTGAGTAGCCCTTATTCTGGGGGGATTGTTCTGCAATAGTCAGGGACAGACCTTCACCCCCTCCTGGTTTTCCTTTTTTTTCCCCAAGTAGGTCCTGGTGTAATTCTTGAGAGGAGAATAATGAGCCCACAGGTTTCATGTTACCACCTTACCAGGAGTCTGGAGTAATTAATCTGAAACAGGTGTATTCTCTGTTTTGTTGTTGGGGTAAAATCCAGCCCATTGTGCTGAGTCCCTTCAGCTTTGAAAGCTGCTAGAGAACTTTCAACATAGAGTTTCATTACTTAGAAGCAGTCGATACATCGCATGTAAAGTATGTGATATGTAGGGGTTAAAAATGGAGGAAATGTGGAAGCAGAAGAAAGGTGTTTGCACATCTGTAACCCTTGAAAGCAGGTATCGTACACCAGTGACATCTGTACAGCAGTCCCAGCATTTCAGAATTAAAAAAAAAAAGCCCTACACCGTCATTTTCCATGTAAACACCAAGTCTGACATTTAGTTTTGCCATTTGTTTTAGTGGTTGCTTTGGCAACTAATAAATAGTTTGTGCTAAGTGCTTTAGCAGCCAATCAGTCTGTGGAAATGAGAATTGTCTAATCCTTCTGCAAGTGCTTGCTTATTGCTTTGTGTGCATAGTGTCTGCTTTTTTTACGCTGCACTTAAGGTAGAAATGGAAGAACATGAGTTTTCTTAACAAAAGTTTGCGGCCCATCCAGAAAACTTCGCTCTTTAGTTTCAGACTTGCACTCTTTCCCAATCTCTTCCTCTGTGATACTTTCCCTACAAATTTTTACAACTCCATTGAGTATTTTTTAAATAAATTAATACCAGACAAACGTGTGGGATTCACATGTTGTTATCAACCACTAAATCCAGCCAGAATTAGTGTGCTGTGGGCTTTTTTTGATTAACAGACCAAAGCCTCACAAAAACTGTGTAACATTTTCTCAAGGCAAATACAGAGTTTTTGAGAAGAGAATGATCATGCTCAGTTTTTCACTTTATCACTCTGTTACTTTCTGTGACTTCCTTACCAAACACGTCTCTCTAATGTCCTAGTTTACTGATGCTTATTTTAACTATGAGGCTATTAACTCACTCAGAACATTAAAAATGCATAAAAATTCCTGAGGACAAGAGGCTTTCCTGCTCTGTGGTTTGTTGGGGGGTTTTTCGGAGGGTGGGGGGAATTGTCTCTTTCTTCAGAGCAGTCACCTGAAATAATTTTTGCAAAAATCTATTTTTTTTTATGGTTGGGTAATGTATTTTGTTGAAGCCAAACTTGAGCATTTTCTTTGCAGCTATGCTCTCCCAATGGGTATGTCTTCACTGCCAATGTGAATGTCATCCAAGCTCATGCACTACCCTGCAGATCCAGCTGCAAGAAATTCAATTTTAGCTA